AAAAAATACTTAAAACTGAAAAAAACCGAAAGAAATGCGTTAATTTTGAAGAAAAGGCTTCAAACTTTATTTTCTATTGTCTAGCCATTCTGCGAAATTTGACACCTATGAGTCATTGTTTACACAGCTGGATGACCTTGAGAACAGCTGGAGTCGGATTTCCCGGGGCATTCTCATAGATGTCTCAGGAGGACAAGGGTTTAAAGTAGGATGACTACTAACTTGGCCTATATTTTTAAATATTTTTAAAAAATTAAAAATTTTATTGCGATTTCCGACCCCCCTAATTAATTAAATTTATATAAAATAAAATATATTAATTAAAAAAATTTAAAAACTTTTGGAGGTCGTTTTTGACATCAGAAACTATCTTTAAATAACTTTACTGAAGTCAAATCCATGCACTACAACTTTAGAACGATGAATTAAATTTGATAAAAAAATCCCATTAAAAAACAATTAAGCCTTAATCGAGCCTTATTAAAGGCTAATTAAAATCGCGATAAAATTTTTTCGCGCGGGCAATTTGATTGATTTTCATCAGATCAAATAAGGTAGTTGAGTGTAAAACCACACCACACCGTTCTCTTTCAATACCTTTACCTTTACCTTTACATTACACCATTCTTTGTCATTGGTCTTCATCTGGATCATTGAAACATTCTGTTAAAGTCACTATATGTGGAAATATGCTCCAAACTTCTCATCTCCGCACTATAGCAGAGAAATTGTTTGGGTGCAAGATGCAGCACCCAAACAATTTCTCTGCAACATTTTGCTAGAGTGATTAGCCAATTATTTTTATAGAACATAAAAATAATTCTGTCTGCCACAATCACTAGATCTGAAGCCCAGTGACTTTTGGTTATAGGCTAATTGGTAGTTGGCTAAAGAGTTTTATTTATCAAGTTCCCAACCTGTCTTAAAACAATCTGCTCTTCTATTAATGTGTTGAGAATAAAAGCTATATTCACAATTTGTGAGTTAGCATATAGGAATTAATGAGATGAGGCACAAAGTTTATTTACTGTTTTAGAAGCATTTTATTGTCGATATATTGATGATGGTTGAAATGAATCTTTGGCATTTAAAAGGCCGCATTTCTTTATGCAGTGCTTTACAATGAACACTCTAAAACCCATTCCTAAATGGCCAATGCTGCTCGTGACGACATTTCGCTACACACTGGCCACATTTCTTTATGTAGCAAAATGCAACTGCACACAGGTCAGTTGTAGCCTGCATCAGAATGCATTTTTGGAACATGGATATGGAGGACATATAGACCGTTTAATTAACCCCTTCTGACCCGCCCACTTTTTATGGAATTTCTAATTAAGGATAAAAAATACTTAAAACTGAAAAAAAAAAACGAAAGAAATGCATTTATTTTGAAGAAAAAGCTTTGAAGTTTAACACTGATGAGTCATTGTTTACACAGCTGGATGACCTTGAGAACAGCTGGAGTCGGATTTCCCAGGGCATTCTCAGATGTCTTGGGAGGACAAGGGTTTAAAGTAGGGTGAATACTAACTAGGCCTATATTTTAAAATATTTTTTAAAAATTAAAAATTTTATTGCGATTTCCGACCCCCCTAATTAATTAAATTTATATATNTAAAAAATTACTGGCTATAAGCTTGTGGTAAATTTTATTTTTAAAATTAAATTAATTAATTGAACAGTTTTAAATTTGGTTTCAATTTATATATCAGATCAAAATTTGCATATCAACATTGAAGGAAATGTGGAAGAAGCTAAAACATTTCAGACTCAAGCAGAACAAGATGGTGAGAATATAATTACTAAATTTACAATAATAGAAGTATTACAGCTCATTTTCATAATAATACACAATTATACTGTTTATTAATTTTAAGATGAAGATAGTGGAGATTCTGATCAAGAAGAAGCTTCAACAGTAGTGAGTTATTTATCAATTTAAATATAGTAATAATATAGCATCAAAAGATTTTGTAGATAATTATATATGCCTTATATATGAAAAATATTTTAAAATTTTATTTTACAAACATGAGTTTAATTTAATAATGATTAAAGAATTCTTTTCAAATCATAAGAATCCAAAATTAATTAATTTTTTAAAAAATAAATTTTTAATAAATTGCATGCAGCATGTTTAATCATAAAATATTAAGGGTTTAAGATTCATTTTATAAAAGCAAATGTATGCGTTATATAAATTTATATTTTGTTAGAAACGACATCGTCGATCTACCATAGACAGAGAAGAAATAACAAAAAATGTTTTGTCTAAACATCCTTTAACTGTTTCAATCACAGTTAAATGCAATAGTAAGTTTTTCTTTGAATTGCTAATTCAAATTAAATAAATGATATATATGATGTGAAATCTAGTTAAAACACTGCATTATTGATTTTAAAAAAATATATTATCCTTACCTTATATTTACCATACGCATCATTTAATATTTGATTAAAGAATCATTTTGTAACTTGTGTGTTTTGTTAAATCATTGTTCTTTTAAATTAGGAATGTTACAGTTTTGTATTAGCAGTAGTAAATGTTTCATTTTGTAGACTGAATATGCTTTTTGGGAATACTGTAGAAACAAGTATTTACATATTTGTTATTTTCTACTTATCACACAGAGATAGAGTGTATCAGACAGGTTTAATGAGGGAGAATTATAGATCTAAATATACAAACCTATTGTGACATATTTTTCATAATTATTTAGTATAAAATTATAACATTATCATTTACAACTTTCAAAAATATAATTGATAATTTAATCAGAGTTTTTTCTTATGCATATAAAAACTTTAAGTTTCTCTATTATCAGTATTTTTATTAAGAAAATCATTAGCAGAAGTTGTTGAAGTAAAATTAATTAATAGTATTTCAGTTTAATTATAAGTTTATTTTGAATCATTTTTTTATCAGAGCATAGCATAACAGAGCTTTGCATAGGTCAGAAAGTGTTTCATCTGTGATCAAAGTTAAAACAACCACATTACCACTAAACATGACAGTTTGTAAATATGCACAACTCAGTAAGGCCAATGTCACAATGAAGTTGGAATTTTGAAATTTAATCTGTGGGCCAAGATATTTGAGGTCAAAGTTTGCCATACTGTCTGGGTTTATTGTTAGTTGTAAGCTGATCATGTGCAATGTGTTTTTCAAGTTTCCAATTGCTGTCAATTTACATTGATCTCTATGCTGATTTGTTATGTTAGATTTAGTTCACTTAAAAAAGTTTTTTTTGTACAATTTGTTTTCTATGCCATAGAACTCAGTTTCATTTTCCTAGAAAAAATAGTGAATTTTAGCATTTCACAAAATAAAAATTAAATGGGTCAGTATTCACCCTGGCAGTCAGTAATTATCTGTAATATTTATAATATCAGCTTTCAGATATAAAGTGGACAAAAGTCAAACATAATACAATTTTATGTAGTTTAGGGAATATTCTCAGAGAACTAAAAAAAAAATTATAAAATTCTTATTGAGGTAGGATACTTTATATTTTTATGGTGAATATGTTGCTATAATTCATAAAATGACAGTTTCATGTTTAATCTAAGGTTTAACTTTTATTGTTTTGTGAAGATTTTTGTCTATGTTACTATTTGCAGAAAGTGCAATTGCTTGATATCTGTAAAAATGTAAGGTCATCTGAATTTGGTGTACAAAAAGCAAATTAGTGGTATCAAATAAGACAACTACATGATAAAGTCAATGATTGCACTTAATTTTCTTTTGTAATTTGTATATTTTTGCTTGCATTTGTGAGAACCGAGGGGGTTAGTTGTCCCCACTTACTGGCGGCTCTGTCAGAGGATGGCTTTATAGGAGGGCAAAATGAAATGAATGGGGAGGTTAATGGGTAAGTTGACAGGTTCCCAAATAAATACACAGGTTGAACAAGAATAACACTTTTTATAAACAACTAAAAATCGTACATATCAAAGGCAAAGGTGAAGAGCTACAAAAATTCTATTCTACGTCGTGATAATGATTCATCTTTCATATGGATCTCTATTCTCTAAGTTAAATTAAGAGACGAGAGAGAGATCTCTAGGAGAGAGAGTTTACAAATAGATGTCCAAAAAAAATACCTCTAAGTTCCTGATCCGTAATATGGGTTGTTGATGAAAACATTCCTGGATCGTCATGGTGGTTATGGCGGTATGGGTCAGTAGATGTGGCAGTCGATGTCCGCTTTGTAAATGTCCGCCTTGTGGACTACATCCAAGCCCTCTTTATACTATTTTTGAGGGGGTGAGAACTATGACCTCATTCATGATTTATATGCATACCTGTTCATGCGTTGATGTCTGGATCTAGCTAGTACTGACCACTGGCACAGAGAAGTTTGTTTAATTTATTGATGTCAGTGTCTAGAAGATATGATTTTATAATATAAATTTCTATAGGTTTGATGGCTCTCATCCATAAATTAACATTCATCTGACAATAATTTCTTTAACCTGGTCAACTATCTAGATATTGTTTATATAAAATGTCGCGTTTGACTACGAATGAGGCGATTTATTGCTGTAACCACATGTCATGTGCAACCAAAGAGAAGGTAAGAAACATCTCTTATTCCCGTCTTGTTGATATTAACGTCTATAGAATTACCTTTAAACAAATGGAGAAGATTTCTTTTATTGATATTTTAACATTCCCTTTTTTTCTTATTCGAGTAGAGCGTCTCGGTCATTGACTGCAGAAGCCCCCTTTTCTTTTTACACCTAATTACGAGGTTTATTAGAGGGGTGATACTGTTCTAAAACAAAAGGGTTTTGGACTGTCACACATTTTTAGAATATAATTATTCTAAAAATGCAAGCAAAACATATATATTCAGTTATAATTTAGTTAATATTTCCTTTAAAATAAAATCAGAATGCTAAAAAAAAGTTCTAAAATTTTTTCATATCTTATTTGTTAATAAGATAAAACTTAAATAAAATAATCAATGTTTCATAAACTGTAGAAATTAATTTTATAATGTTAATTGTTAAATTGATTAGACTGTTGCTTACAAGATGTTTATATTTCAGTATGTACAACTTTACCATAGAATCTGGAAATAAACAATAATCTTGGCTGACTTCCATCTCAGAGATAATTTATATTTGTATTGTACCATACAATTTATTTTTGTGAATATGTAACAGAATGTTTTATTACAGTTAAAAATAAATCACATTTTCTTAAATTATTGTCATCTTCTTATACTAAAACAATCATTTTTTTTCAATTCCTTGATATAGAAAAGTAAAAATGGTATTATTACAATGTAAATATTTTTTTTCTCTTTTCAGAAGAGACTTCTATGTGCGTTAATTTCTCTTACTTACTTCATCTTCATATTGTAACTGCTCTTGTAAAGTCTATTACACCACACCTAAGTTCAGGAGTATCAGCTGGGTGAGTTGTTCAACAAATATAGCAGTGTGTAAGGAATAAATTTTATATTAATATAATTTTGGTTTGTTTCAGTGATCTTTTAAAACCAGATTTACTTCTAAATTGTCTTTTTCCAAATGACTTTGGTAAAGAATCACCAAATCCAGCCAATCATTACCAATTAAAAAAAATAAGGTAAAACTTGTATAAAGATAATGTAAAATAGATTTTTTAATATTAATATAAAATAAGTTAAGAATATTCTTCAAAATAGCAGTGACCAATTTGAAAGCTTTTTGACACAAAATGGACGACCCTATCATTGGGCTCAACGTATTGCTGGTTTAGAATTTTTACCTGTAACTAATGAAAATTTGCCATCTTGGGAAGATACAAAAGTTAATTATCAGATTAGTGCATCTTCTATGGAAATGACCTTACGTTCCATGCACTCTCGACTTCAAGCCAGGATTGCTTTACATGCACAACTCTCATCATTAGGTAAACATCTTGTAAACTGTTTATTTCACTAATGTTTTTATAGAAAAATTTATAACAAGTTTATCTTTTCAGAACGTGGAACTATTCCTGTTCCTTCAGATGTTACAGATCTCTTTCCATCAAAAGTTTCTATTATATTTAAAAACTGGACCTGTAGTACATGGGATGAATTTTTGGTAAATATATAAGTATTTTCTTATCTTGTATATTCTGTAAATTAATTGGTTATTATTAAAAATCAAATTTATATAAGTTCATTATTCATTCAGACTCATCCTAGTTCTGCTGATATCATAGAACTTGGATTAGCGACAGAAGATCATTCGGTCTTTAAAGCAACTGTAGAAAGAGGTTTAGGTAATATATCTCTCTCATGTTCATCTCTATATCTTGTATAATGTAAATGAATTATTTTTAATATTTTTGTTTAGCAAAGCTTTCAACATTTGTATTAATACCTCCGGATTATCCTTCTACTTCTTCCCTATTCCTGTTAACAGTCAATTGGAAATCTGAGAGAACTGGAAGAAATGATCCTGCAGTACTAGTAAGCAAAATGTCTTATGAATTAAAAGAAACAGGCTATGTATTTAAAATATCACTCTTTCAGGAATTGGAACAAGAAGTTAATGTTTATTGTGTAGAAATGTTACCTGCCAGTGCTAGAAATTACATATTGAGTTGTCAGTTGCAACATCTGCTGGTTAGTTTTGATATATATTTAGAGACAGAATCAGCTAGAGATACAATTGAAGGTCCAAGGGAATTCTCTCAAGGAAAAGTGTTGACTAGATCTGCTAGGTTAGTAATGGCATTAGTTTTTATTGTTCAAAAAAATTGTATGAACTAGTTTCATCAGCAAAGTTTAGATCAAAATTTATGATTTTGGATACACAATATGCAATTAGTCACATTTCAGATTTGATTCTTTTGTAGAATATTTATCATGAAAGTTAAATTTAGTTCATTAATGAGACATTAATAATCTAATAAAAGCTGAAGCAGACTTCAGACATACATATATATATAAATTATATAAAGATCAATGGAAATGGCTACATCAATTATTAATCCCTAAAGCACAGTAAATGAGTATTCTTTTAGCACCACAAACTGTTAACAAATTATTATTTCAGTATTACAATAGCATAATTTGTTAAAGATTAATTCAGTATAATAATGACAAATAAATAGTGAAAAACAAGCATTTTTTATAAATTATTTTTTCCCCAAGATTTCAATATAAATTGAAGGAGTAGACAAAGTTAGTGATAAACTATAGAGAAAAAATTCTTTTTCTGTCCCATTAAGAGGGTTCATATCCAGGATGGCAGGCTGATGCCTTTTCCATCTTGTCAAAGTCTCAGCTTCAAGTATGAAATATTGAAAAAGAGGGTTCATATCCAGGATGGCAGGCTGATGCCTTTTCCATCTTGTCAAAGTCTCAGCTTCAAGTATGAAATATTGAAAAAATTTCTGTCACAATATCAATGTTAACCTGCAGTTAGTAAATTTGGTACTTTGACTGACTTGTTAGTCCTATAATATTTAAAAACAGAAAATCACATAAAGGTTGTAGCACAGTGTTATGAACCCCAAAAAAATTGAAAACTACTGTCATAAATCATCAGTTTTTTGTATAAGTTATGATAGAAAATATACCTTATTTATGCGTGTATAAGCTGCAGCCTATACATAATAAATTGCTTTAAAATTATTCATTATCTCAATTGTCTTTACATATCTTATTGATTACAGTTCTTATAGTCCTGTCTTCATTTGAAACTGACATTGAAGAACAAAAGCAATAACTGTCACTATCAGTGCCACTTGAGTCTATTCTCAGATGATGCTAGATACACCGAATCACCTTATGACCTGTCCATCACGTTGGAAATGGATGTGAATTTTGAAACTTTTAGACACCATTTCTTCTGGGTATTAGCCATAATCCATTCATGCATCTGAAATGGATGGTTTTCTTTGCCACCCAGTCAGTGTCATCTCCAATCACAGTAGAAATGTCGCAAATGAAAGGCTGGGTGATGGATACATCAAGTGGTTGCAACATTTTAGTCATCCCACTTGGTATCACAACCATGTCATTTTTCTCCTCCCTCATCATCATTTTCACACTTTCAGTCAGGTGACCTCTGAAGCTGTCTACAACTGACATGGATTCCAAAACCACATTGACTTCTTGTAGAGTTCTTCTGTCATCCAGCCTTGATTTTGAACTTACACTACCGCCTGGAATATTGATATATCTTTCAGCAGGGTTTTACGCTCAAAAATGACAAGGTGGCAGCTTGTTTCTGTTAGTGGTGATGCACAGCATTATGGTATAATAGTACTTTTCTACTTCTGGTGTTCACACCAAAACTGTTTTTTTCACCTGCCTGATTGATATGCAAAGTGACACTACAGTCAAAGAAGACAGGACAATAGGCAATGCTGATGAAACTTATAAGTCATAGCCATGTGTCTTTCTTAAGCTGAGAACATGTTTCTGAAATGTGAGTAGTTTCTCTTTCTAGGTATAAGTGCTGTGCCATTGATGTTTGACACCGAATCACAAGCTCATGTCATGCCACAAAACATCATGCCCAGCTGTAACTTGCCTTAAATTCACTTTTGGGCAATCCTTCAGGCTTCAAACTGAATCATTTCACAGATAAGTCTCAAAAGATTTGTTTCCAGGTTGGGATATTTTGCTGACTTTGTAACGTTTTCTCAAAAGCATCCTTTATTTGAATCCAATGTTGCATATTTTTTTCATCTATGACAAACTTTCTTCCTGCTTTTCTATTTCCATTTTCTTGTGCATCACTCTGACTTGACCCATGTTTAATACACAATAAGCATTAACCATCACTTACCATCTTTGTTTGGAATTTGTGGTGTTGCCATATTTCTGTATACCTGCATCTCTACTCTCATTCCTTGGAGGAATTTTGAGATTTTTATTTTTTGTTTCAGAAATGGGATCTTGCTTATACATGCATAAATATAGTATATGTTAATAGTCATTTAGATACCAATACTGAAAAAACCTACACACTTAATTATTTATAGATATGAGTGCATAGTTAGGCTTGTAAACACATTAAACTTCTTGCTAAAATAGAATGTGAATTCTCTTAATATTTTGCTTTGTGCATCATACTACTGAGTTGTTTGACCTCAGATATGATTATTCTAATAATTTGTTGCTGGTTCCACTGAGGCTGTGAGTGATTAAATTGATTAAAATTTATAAAATACAATTGCTGAAATTTGTCTAATTCCAATGGTTCAAACTTTGTTGATGAAACCAATTGTAGACTAAATAACAAAAAGGTAAGAATATAGTTATTTATTGCAGATTTTTATTTCAGGGGAAGAAGTCGGAGTAAACCATATAAATATCTTCCAAATTATGGATTATTTACTCATAGATGAACGTATTAAAGTAGAATAAAATCATCATCAGTTTTATTTAATATTTTTTTAATATGACATTAATTATTTATATATCAAAACATACACATCATAGTTTTTATGACAAAAATTAAGGTAAAATAAATTCTGAAAAAATTGATTTTAATGAGAGAGGAATGTACTCAATGTAGGATGAACTTTTTTTGTAGTGGTCAGAAACATATGTAATCATTAATGAAATGAATGTCTTAGTCAATAGGTGAATCTAATAGTGTGTTGATTAGAATCATTGCTTGATAGCTTTAAGGAAATAAGTTCTAACTTAGTCCTCCTATTCTATTCCTATATAGAATAGGACTGAGTTATGTCAAAACAAGTTACAAATTTCCATTTTATTTTAAATATTTAATCCATATACAAAAAACAAATACATTGTCCCAGTTCAGATCATCTTATTTTACATATAAAAATTTCTGTGGATGGTCTAAACTGGGATAAAAAACATTAATAAATTATCCACAAATCAATAAAATTCGAAAAGTTTACAGAGAACCTAACCACAAGAAAATGCAAAATATGTTTACTAAGTGTTGAAAATTAATAAAAGAGAAACACTATTTGGATATAGATTTGTACAGAATTTTTCAGTCTGATGTTTAAACCAAGATGATGATTATAATCATTACACATTTGTTCTTATTCTATGAACATAAAGCAATTTTAGATCTCTTTTCAAACTAATTTTTATTTGAAATTACTATTCAGGTGGCAGTTTCTTATTCATTTACGAACAATAGCTGTGAAGACTAAACACAGACGATATTTCTATTTATAATCCTAACTCTTTTAAGAAAATGATTTTGCATTTTGAGGAGATTGGAAGTTCACTGTAAAACCAGGGTGTGGTCATCTGAAAACAAAAGATATTGCAGTAGCAATAGTAGAGCATGGAATGGAAAATGCAATATTTGCCAATTATACATGCTCTACATAACTGCATAGGAAGTTCTACAAAAATTTCTTGCATTTTTATCTGTAGAAGATATCCCATAGTTGAATTGATTTCTAGTAATAATGATAAACTGAAAACATTACTGACTTTGGTTGTTGATGCATGACCTTGGAAAATTTTGTGCAGTGGTGTGTTCACAACACCATGCAAATGAAAATTAATCTTAAATTTTATTGCGATTTCCGACCCCCCTAATTAATTAAATTTATATAAAATAAAATATATTAATTAAAAAAATTTAAAAACTTTTGGAGGTCGTTTTTGACATCAGAAACTATCTTTAAATAACTTTACTGAAGTCAAATCCATGCACTACAACTTTAGAACGATGAATTAAATTTGATAAAAAAATCCCATTAAAAAACAATTAAGCCTTAATCGAGCCTTATTAAAGGCTAATTAAAATCGCGATAAAATTTTTTCGCGCGGGCAAAAATTTTGAAAAAATTTGGGGACCTAAAAAACATTCCAAAAATTCAAAAAAAAAAATTTTTTTTTCTCGGGGACCCTTCACGCCCGGATTTTTGTAACGCTATGGGACTTGCCAGACTCGAGCATGGGCAGGAAGGGATTTTAATGTAATCATCAATTCCACACTCCACACAAATAAGAAACAAAGTGCAGTAATTTCAATTAACTTTTGAAAATGTATGCAATATGTGCATTAAGGGAACAACAATGCCAAATTTTGTTATAGTGACTGAATTTTGAAGTACAGTTTTATTTTTAAGAAAAAATTTTATGCTCAGGGCAGAATTTATACCAAATTTGGCTGAGATTTGTCACCTGCTCTTCAATTACAATAACTGTGTATTTAAACAAATTATGCAGCAATTTGTAATTCCACTAAATAAATATGAACTTATAATTCAATAATTTATTACATTTGAAATTAATTTTTAGAAAATTCTATACCTATTTTAGTTGCTCAATTTCAGTGCAGGTGTTAATGAATTAGATCTAAAAGTGGAAATAAAAGTAAAAATAAAGAAAATTATATTAACATCATTTTATTAAAAGTACACAAGTAATAACAATCAAAATAATTTGATTCCATAATTAAATCACTGATAACTTAATTTTTATCATTAAATATATTGGGTTGTTCGGAAAGTAAGTTCGTTTTTTTTCCATGGAAAGAAAAACAATATTTTTATAGTAAATATATTTTTTTGAATTATATATCGACCATTTTGGTCAAATACCTGTTGTCATCGTTTCTGGTAGTAGCATGATTTCACATTCATAAAAGTTTTGATCGTTGCTTACAAAAAACTGATCCAAGTGATTTTTGACATTGTCATTTCAAGTAAATGCCTTACAGTTAAAAAAAATTTGTATAGACTGGAACAAGTAATAATCTGAGTGTGCTCAATCTGGCAAATATAGTTGGTGTGATAGCATGCCCCTGACAAGTTACCAAACTTGTGAGAAATTTGACATTATCGTGGTAAAACACTACACCTGTTTTGTTGATCAATTCTGGCCACCTTTTCTGTTTGATGATATTACTCAATTTGTTTACTCGAATAAAAAAATTTCCTTAAAATCCCACCAAAGATAGCATCTCTCCTTAAGAACATGTGGAATCCATATATCAAGCTTTGAAACGAAACCAATTTGTTTCAAGTAATCATAAATGGTTCAATTGGACAAATTTAATCTCTTGGTGATTTCACATGTTGTTATTCGGCAGTTTGCTTCAATCAGTACCTTTATTTTGTTTTCATTGGCTTCAATTGGCCATCTAGAACGTGGTGCATCTTCAATATTGAAATTGCCAGAACGAAATTTTGTAAACCAGTTTTGGCACTGTCGTTCTGTCAATACATCTTCTCCGTATATGTCACACGATTTTTTTCTCGCTTGAACAGCATTCTTACCTTTTCGGTAATAAAAGAGCAAAATATGCCGAAAATGCTGCTTTCAATCTTCCATATTTGATGGGACACAAAAAATAAACAATTGCACAAAATCAAACAAAATTTTTTACAAATAAGCCTTAAAATGCTAGCTGTCAAAATATATAATGATAATANTTGTCAGTTGCAACATCTGCTGGTTAGTTTTGATATATATTTAGAGACAGAATCAGCTAGAGATACAATTGAAGGTCCAAGGGAATTCTCTCAAGGAAAAGTGTTGACTAGATCTGCTAGGTTAGTAATGGCATTAGTTTTTATTGTTCAAAAAAATTGTATGAACTAGTTTCATCAGCAAAGTTTAGATCAAAATTTATGATTTTGGATACACAATATGCAATTAGTCACATTTCAGATTTGATTCTTTTGTAGAATATTTATCATGAAAGTTAAATTTAGTTCATTAATGAGACATTAATAATCTAATAAAAGCTGAAGCAGACTTCAGACATACATATATATATAAATTATATAAAGATCAATGGAAATGGCTACATCAATTATTAATCCCTAAAGCACAGTAAATGAGTATTCTTTTAGCACCACAAACTGTTAACAAATTATTATTTCAGTATTACAATAGCATAATTTGTTAAAGATTAATTCAGTATAATAATGACAAATAAATAGTGAAAAACAAGCATTTTTTATAAATTATTTTTTCCCCAAGATTTCAATATAAATTGAAGGAGTAGACAAAGTTAGTGATAAACTATAGAGAAAAAATTCTTTTTCTGTCCCATTAAGAGGGTTCATATCCAGGATGGCAGGCTGATGCCTTTTCCATCTTGTCAAAGTCTCAGCTTCAAGTATGAAATATTGAAAAAGAGGGTTCATATCCAGGATGGCAGGCTGATGCCTTTTCCATCTTGTCAAAGTCTCAGCTTCAAGTATGAAATATTGAAAAAATGGGTTCATATCCAGGATGGCAGGCTGATGCCTTTTCCATCTTGTCAAAGTCTCAGCTTCAAGTATGAAATATTGAAAAAGAGGGTTCATATCCAGGATGGCAGGCTGATGCCTTTTCCATCTTGTCAAAGTCTCAGCTTCAAGTATGAAATATTGAAAAAGTTTCTGTCACAATATCAATGTTAACCTGCAGTTAGTAAATTTGGTACTTTGACTGACTTGTTAGTCCTATAATATTTAAAAACAGAAAATCACATAAAGGTTGTAGCACAGTGTTATGAACCCCAAAAAAATTGAAAACTACTGTCATAAATCATCAGTTTTTTGTATAAGTTATGATAGAAAATATACCTTATTTATGCGTGTATAAGCTGCAGCCTATACATAATAAATTGCTTTAAAATTATTCATTATCTCAATTGTCTTTACATATCTTATTGATTACAGTTCTTATAGTCCTGTCTTCATTTGAAACTGACATTGAAGAACAAAAGCAATAACTGTCACTATCAGTGCCACTTGAGTCTATTCTCAGATGATGCTAGATACACCGAATCACCTTATGACCTGTCCATCACGTTGGAAATGGATGTGAATTTTGAAACTTTTAGACACCATTTCTTCTGGGTATTAGCCATAATCCATTCATGCATCTGAAATGGATGGTTTTCTTTGCCACCCAGTCAGTGTCATCTCCAATCACAGTAGAAATGTCGCAAATGAAAGGCTGGGTGATGGATACATCAAGTGGTTGCAACATTTTAGTCATCCCACTTGGTATCACAACCATGTCATTTTTCTCCTCCCTCATCATCATTTTCACACTTTCAGTCAGGTGACCTCTGAAGCTGTCTACAACTGACATGGATTCCAAAACCACATTGACTTCTTGTAGAGTTCTTCTGTCATCCAGCCTTGATTTTGAACTTACACTACCGCCTGGAATATTGATATATCTTTCAGCAGGGTTTTACGCTCAAAAATGACAAGGTGGCAGCTTGTTTCTGTTAGTGGTGATGCACAGCATTATGGTATAATAGTACTTTTCTACTTCTGGTGTTCACACCAAAACTGTTTTTTTCACCTGCCTGATTGATATGCAAAGTGACACTACAGTCAAAGAAGACAGGACAATAGGCAATGCTGATGAAACTTATAAGTCATAGCCATGTGTCTTTCTTAAGCTGAGAACATGTTTCTGAAATGTGAGTAGTTTCTCTTTCTAGGTATAAGTGCTGTGCCATTGATGTTTGACACCGAATCACAAGCTCATGTCATGCCACAAAACATCATGCCCAGCTGTAACTTGCCTTAAATTCACTTTTGGGCAATCCTTCAGGCTTCAAACTGAATCATTTCACAGATAAGTCTCAAAAGATTTGTTTCCAGGTTGGGATATTTTGCTGACTTTGTAACGTTTTCTCAAAAGCATCCTTTATTTGAATCCAATGTTGCATATTTTTTTCATCTATGACAAACTTTCTTCCTGCTTTTCTATTTCCATTTTCTTGTGCATCACTCTGACTTGACCCATGTTTAATACACAATAAGCATTAACCATCACTTACCATCTTTGTTTGGAATTTGTGGTGTTGCCATATTTCTGTATACCTGCATCTCTACTCTCATTCCTTGGAGGAATTTTGAGATTTTTATTTTTTGTTTCAGAAATGGGATCTTGCTTATACATGCATAAATATAGTATATGTTAATAGTCATTTAGATACCAATACTGAAAAAACCTACACACTTAATTATTTATAGATATGAGTGCATAGTTAGGCTTGTAAACACATTAAACTTCTTGCTAAAATAGAATGTGAATTCTCTTAATATTTTGCTTTGTGCATCATACTACTGAGTTGTTTGACCTCAGATATGATTATTCTAATAATTTGTTGCTGGTTC